ACAATGAATGAGGTTTAAAATTTGGATCTCTTGAGCCCACGGGAGACCTTCAGTCTGCTCTGGAGCCAGAGGGCTGGGCAGAGGGAGGGCACCTGGGAATGAACAACGGATTCCAGAACTGGACACCGAGCCTCAGACACCAGGGCCTCCACACTACCAGGGCATTTACACCAAGATTGGAAATTCATCCAGTGCTCTCAGAGCAGAGCAAAGCTACCGTGTGTTGTTGTTGTTGCTGCTGCTGCTGCTGTTTCTGAAACTTGGGCTTCAGAATGGCTCCAAAATATGACTCAGCTGTCATTGCAACTGGGAAAAATTAGAAGAGAAGGGAAATTCATTGCCAAAGCATATTTTCTTTACCCAATATTCATCATATGCCAAGCATCATGACAGGCATTTTATATGCATCATATCCCAACAACTCTTCCCAACTTTTCTGCGAAAAAGGTAGAATTACTCCCATTTCTAAAGGGGAGAAGACTGAGATGCATAGAGATTAAGAGTTCTGCCAAAATCACACAGCATGTTAGGAGCAGAACTGAGAGTCTAGCCCAGTTTTTCTGAAGCCAAAGGCACTGATCTCCATTATGCCAAGATGCTCATTTGTGACTTTGTTTACATATTAGGATGAAGGGACACTGCTATTTAGATATAAATTTGTCGTGCTCGCTTCGGCAGCACATATACTAAAAATAGATATAAATTTGTCTTGGCCAGTTGGAAAAAACAATAGACATCAAATGATCTTAGGAACTTTCCCATTAGCTGAATTGATATCTTTGCATTCAAGTGTTAAATTTTATGAAATACAGGCTGGCTGTGGTGGCTCACACCTGTAATCCCAGCACTTTAAGGAGCCAAGGCAGATGGATCACCTGAGGTTAGGCGTTTGAGACTAGCCTGGCCAACATGGTGAAACCCCATTTCTACTAAAAATACAAAAATTAGCCAGGGGTGGTGGCATGTGCCTGTGATCCTAACTACTCAGGAGGCTGAGGCACGAGAATTGCTTGAACCCAGGAGGCAGAGGTTGCAGTGAGCTGAGATCACGCCACTGCACTCCAGCTGACGCTACAGGGCAAGACTCTGTCTCCAAAAATATATATATATGAAATAAAAAAGAATGTTGTTTTATTATTAATGATTTTCCTGGTTATAGCCTGGAAGAGGTATATTCTTTTTCTGATCACACTCTAAAAGGCTTCCTAATATAGTGGGGAGGAAAAAATTCATTTAGTACAATTCAGAGTCCACACATGGCCGCATCTTCCAGATGCCAAACCCAACTCCTGAATATTTCAAGAAGCTGTCGCCCTCTAGACAGTCTTCCCTGAATGGCAGTTTTGCCCATTGGCCCTCACAGCCACCCCCAGAAGAGGATGCTTTGCACTAGGGCAGTGAGCAGCAGGGGTAAGTCCCAGACTCTTTAATAGCCTCGGGGAAAGTGTGTCTTTAAAAAGCACACCCTGGCCAGGCACAGTGGCTCACGCCTGTAATCCTAGCACTTTGGGAGGCCGAGGCAGGCAGATCACAAGATCAGGAGATCAAGGCCATCCTGGCAAACATGGTGAAACCCCTCTCCACTAAAATACAAAAAAAAAAAAAAAAAATGAGCTGGATGTGGTGGCACGCACCTGTGGCCCCAGCTACTCAGGAGGCTGAGGAAGGGCAATTGCTTGAATTTGGGAGAATGAGGCTGCAGTGAGCCAAGATTGTGTACCTCACTCCAGCCTGGCAACAGAGCAAGACTCCACCTCAAAAAAAATAAATAAATAAATCAGTAAATAAAAAGAACAACTTTTTTTTTCCAGTCCCACTCAGAGAGGATCCACCTATGAGGATTTCTCCAAACTATCAAATATGACAGAGGTTTTATGACTTGACCAGGGTCCTGCCTACATTTCCCGATAAACTCTTCCCCTTTAAAGAGTTAATTAGACCTAAGTGCTTTGATATGAGAGGAGAGTTCCTCTGAGAAGTTCCATGCATGGTATATTGAGTCCAGTTTCCAGGAGATCCCAGTGCTGGTGGGGGATAAATATGTCCCAAACTCTACTCCCAGAGCTTCTTCATCCATCAAATGAGACAGGCTAGGCAGGAGGGTAGCTCGTGACACCTCTGGTTTGAAGCACCACCCAGACAGAAAAGATGAGTGGCATCATTTCCAGCAGAGGGGGTACTCCTGGCCCTGGGCCGTGGGGCTTGGTTTCATATAAAAAGCCTTAACAGGCATCTGGGGAGTCAGACAGGTCTTGGCAAGTGGGAAGGAAACAGGGGTGTGGGAATGGGGACCAAGCTAGACTGGAACAATATGGGCTGGGGAAGCAGAGACTGTGGAAGTCCCCAGGGCACCCAGGGGCGGGGACTTCTGGCCTGCAACTCTTGTGCCATCACTCCTGCTGAGGCTCTGGGCTGCAGCTCAAGGTCTTTGCTCTTACTGAGCCCAGTGCTCAAAGAGTTTGGTAGTTGCTAATGATGCTTTTTAAGAGAACTATATTCCCAGGAAGAATTTTCAGCTTCTCAGAGAAAATGTCTCCCTTCTTTGGGAAACGAAAGAAAGGGAACGGGGAAATATGTATTAGCCTGAAATAATAATAAACCTAGGGAGCCTGGAGAAAGCATGAAGTGCTTGGAGAGACCTACGAGGCTTGCCATCAAAACCCTTGGCTTTAATTCCCACCTGTTGGTTGTGTCTGTGAGTACATCTTTCCACCTCCCTGGGTCTGAGATGCCTCTTCTGCAAAACTGGGAAAGCTGGGCCAGATCATCTGGAAGGCTCCTTCTAGTTCTGACAGTCTAAGACAGCTCTGTCCAATTGAACTTTCTGTAGTGTTGGAAACACTCCATGTGTGTATTGTCCTATTTACTACCACTTAGCCACGTGTGACGAGTGCAACTCAGGGAATGTCTCAGTATACAGCTACAAGTCATTACGGGCTACCGTACTGGACAGAACAGGTCTAGTATTATAGAACCAAAGATTTGTCTGTTCAGTGTGTTGCTTATCAGGCTAAGCACATTCCAGAAAAGTTGTGCACTGGGTTTGAAATTAAGGATTGCTGGTTTGCACACAGTTATGAGAAAATCCAATTAGCCAGTAGCCCCCCTCCCTTGGCATTTCAGCTCCTTGAAACTTTACCCACCCATCAACCAGGAACTACAGCTCGCCGAGCAGTATGTTCATGTCTCCGCTGTCAGGCTAATGACCTTGTCTGCCAGGAATGCCTGCAGGATCATGTCTGGAGACCCTGGAGGCAGCTTCAGGATCCAATTCATTTTTCATCATTTCTTGGCAAGGCCAGAGGCAGGATACTTAATAGAAACATCATCTCAGCTCATTAAAAAAGCACTCTGCGTTTGGAAGGTGAGGTTCAGAAAGATGTCCAAGATTCCTGTCCCCAGCTCTCTCCTCTTTACCTGCCATGGCCAGTCCATTGGCAAGCCAGGTCCATCACAGTGGCTCTTACATTGATTCTTCATTTTTCCATGACTCCTGGAATTGTCTTAGCTGAGACCCTGTTCGCTTCTTCCACAGCCTATCCCCTCCTCTCAGCCATCCTGTCTGTGTTCCTCGGTGAAACTTTCTAAGATTCCACTCCAGTCATGTTATTTTGGGGCTGAAATCCTGCAGCAGCCCTCCCTCTGCCTTCAGGATAGAGTCCAGAGTCCAGGATCTTTGTGGGGTACCCAAGACCCCCCCTCCCCCACCGTCTGATGCCTTTCTACCATTTGAGCTTCATCCCCATCAGCCTCTCACAGGAACCCACTGCTCCAGCCAGCAAGGTCCCCAAAGGCCTCCCAAGCATGACCCCTGCTCTCCTGAAGACCCCCACACACTTACTTACTATCTGGTGCCCTATAGACGCCCTATTCAACCTCCAGTACCCATTTCAAACGCCACCAGCTACAAGACTCACTTGAGATCTTCTCGGGCTAAGACTGTCTCCCAATTTTGACTAGTCTTTACTCTTTCCGGGTAGGAACTTGGCAGTTAGAACGTTAAAATAACACTGCTGTGCTGCTAGACTTGGGCTCAAGTCTTTGTCCTTGCATGCAACCTTGAACGACTGACTTGACCACCCTATGCCTCCAGGTCCATGTCTAAAACGGACACTATGCATACCTTACAAGGTGGTCATGAAACTGCATGAGTTAATTTATGTGATATGCTCCACAAAGTACTTGGTGCATTATGAGTGCTCGAGAAGTAGTAACCATTGTCAGCATTATTATTGTTACTGTTACGTCGTCCTTACAGAGAAAGAAGTGCAGTCTCATGTACGCTGGTCTTAGCTCCTCCTGTAATTATAAGTGTCTGAATAGTAGTGATCACTTGCATTTTTTTATACCCCTGCAACAAGGTGTAGTTTGCAAATAGTGAGGGCTGTGAATGTGAATTGTCTGAGCATCTCTAGAGCCTGAAGGCCTCAATTTCAGTCCTGGGTCCGCCGCTTACCAGCTGTGTGACTTCGGGCAAGTTTCTTCACTTCTCTGGGCCTCAGTTTCCTCATTTACAAAATGGATGAAATAATGGTATCTTTTTCATAGATTGCTGCAAGGAATGGCTCATTTAATCTAACGAGGCATTACTAACAATGCTTCTGGGAACTCTCCCCTGGATTAGCCAGCCTCTAATGCAGAACCTGCACCCAGTAGCTACTCAGTGAAGATATTCTGAAAGAATGAATGATCCCATTGTCCCAGCTGTAATGAGATTTAGAGGTGGGTTTATTATTCTCAATTACAGTAATTTGGCCTGAGTTTCTGGCATAATTATCTCCCTCCTCTCTTTATTCTTTTATTACTTGGCCCCAGAGCAATTGATTAGTTTTAACTGGTTTATGGCATGCGGGCCATTTTAGTGAACACCTCTCAAGCCTCTATGGAAGCAGAAGAGGCATAAAAACAAAGAAAGAATTTGCCCACATTCCTCTTGAGCTCAGTTGAGTAGGATTGGCTTGTGGACGCAGCAGCGTAAATTACACGCAGAGACAGACATGTTTGCAGGGCCATTGAATGCTGCTCTATTTGCCAGTTAACTAAGAACACTCGCTCTTTGAGGCAGCACAGACAACCAGAAACATCACCAACGAGAAGAGTTCACCCACGGGAAAAAGAGGTGAGGGCTGGAGCACCCCCAGGAGTGCTGCAGGTGATCCACGGTCCTGCTCAGGATCTTCCTTGCTGGCCGGGGTTGTCCCTGCTCTTTTTGGTGGCCACAGAATACCAGGCCCTCCAGGATCCTCTCATGCAGAGGGACTTCAGTAGCGGCCCTGCGGGCAGGGCGAGCAAGGCACGCAGACGGTGCGTGGCACACAGACGGCGCGGGACACACACGGGGAGGGTGCACAGGGGTTACAGGAGGGAGTGGAGCACGGGTTACAGGGAAGCCTGCAGGAGAAAGTCACAGAGGGACAGGATCAGTAGAGAAGGCGCACTCGGGCATAGGTCCTGCTGATTCTACCCCTCGGATGCCTCTCAACCCCATCTACCATGCTGTCTCTGCCCAGCCTCCCTGGTCCCAGCCTCCACCATCTTTGCCCTAGTCACCTCATGTCCTCCTCACTGATCTCCCCAACCTTGCTTGAGCCCCTTCTAACCACTGTCCACTTAGTGGTCAGAGCAATCTTCTGCAGTCACAAATCCAATTATGTTTCTCCCCTGCCTAAAACCTTCAGTGGCTTCCATGTGAGCTTAGGATGAAAAGCAGCTTCCTCTGGAAGCCATCATTCTCACAAACTAACACAGGAACAAAAAACCGAACACCTCATGTTCTCACTCATAAGTGGGAGTTGAACAATGAGAACTTCACATGGACACAGGGAGGGGGACATCACACGCCAGGTACTGTCAGGGAGGCAGGGGAAAGGGGAGGGAGAACATTAGGACAAATACCTACTGCACACAGGGCTTAAAACCTAGATGAAAGATTGAGAGGTGCTACCGACCACCGTGGCACATGTATACCTAGGTAACAAACCTGAACGTTCCGCACATGTATTCCAAACTTAACTTGTTGAAAATATTTAAGCATCAGGAGAATTTAACATTTTTAAAAATCCAGATTCTCAGCTTCCTTGGAACTATCAGAAGATCCAGCAATACTGGACCTGCTTCTCACAGAATAGAAATGGCCCTGAGGACATGGCACTGCCTGGATTGGACAAGGCAAGAGCTGTCTGCTTTTCCACAGTCTCCGTATGATCCATGTCATTCATGCATGTTAATGACCTGGCCCTTGCAAATATTTGACTTTGCAACGCTTGCCCTGAAGTTACAGGTTCTGAATGGGAGAGAAGCAGGGCTAAATGCAGAATAAGAAACGGCTACATCAGTCACTAGTCCACCAGGTGTCCATGACCCAGAGGTACCCTGCATTCAGACAGCCACCAAGTCCTGCTGATTCTACCTGCACAGTGTCTAGAGCTGATGCCTCTGCTGCCCTAACTCAGGCCCTCCCCACGGCTTACCTAGGCTTACTGAACAGTTTCTCTGCCTGGTTCCCCTCCCTCTACTCAGCTCTTCCTGCTGCTATCGGGGCCATCTTCTTGAAGAACAGCTTTGAGCTTGAGAGACCTTTACTGAGGATCTACTGTGTGCCATGTACAGGGAATAAAAACGTATTTTAATGTCTCTGCGTTCTAGATGTTTATGATCTAGTGGAGAAGACACACAGTAAATTCTCTCATTTCCTCCTCAAAAAAATAGTAAGGCCTTCCACTTGCCTATAAAATAAAGCCCTCCCTTGCCCACACGACCTGTGTGGTTCTCCATAAATGGGCCACAGCTGATCTTTCCTGTCCTGCTCCCCACCAGGACTCAATTACATGAGGCTACTGATTGTCCTCCGAATATGCCAAAATCTCCATTCTGAGAGCAATGGAGCTATGAGGTGAGGCTGGGGTAAGAGGTGGGAGCAGGATCATGCAGGTCCTATTAGCAAAGTTGCCTTTCATCCTAAGCTCCCTACATGCCACGACCTCCAGTCACCTGTCTGCCTATCTCCTTGAACACATGGAAACAAGAGGAGGACAGATGCCATGCCTTCCTCTGTCTTGGTATCGTCCACAGAGCCTGCCCCATGGTGGGCAATTAGAAGGAGTTTTCTGGCTTGGAATGAGACAGAATTGTCTCCAAGGGGCCTGGTACGAGATGGCGGCATGAACACCACTGCCTGACTTCTTTCAGAGCATACCAGCTCCTTAGTGGCTCCATGGTCAGGACAGGGTTCTAAGCTGATGGTCCCTCAAGGGTAGACCCAGTTGCTTCCTAGAACCTCCCAGAATCCTCGCCCGCATCTCTCTGAGCCTCAGCTGTGCCTACGTACTTGCAGTCCTCGCTCTCCAGTAGGCTCCGATACGTGTTGATCTCGCTCTCCAGCCGGGCCCGGACGTCCAGCAGCACCTGGTACTCCTGGTTCTGCCGCTCCAGGTCAGCCCGGATCTCAGCCAGCTGGGCCTCCACGTTGGTGATCATGCACTGCATCTGGGCCAGCTGGGAGCTGTAGCGGGCCTCGCTTTCCGTCAGCGTGTTTTCCAGGGAGTCTCTCTAAGGCAAAGGAAGACATAACCATGAGGAGGGGAGCTGTCTGCCATGGCCTGCTTCAGAAAGAAACAAGAAGGGCGAAACCTCCCTTTGGTACTGGGAATGAGCCCTCCCTTCCTGAGGCACTGTGGAAACGGAAGCCCAGAAAGGTCAAATGACTTGTTCAAGGGTACACAGCTGGTACATGACAGAACCACAGTTTCAATTTGTAAGTCTGATCCTAAATTTCTCCTTCCTTCTGCAACCTTTGTCTGGCCTCAGGCTTTGGATCTGAGATTCCCCAAGTACCTCCCTGATGGCAGCATTTAGAACAGTGGTTTTCAACCCTGGCTGCACATTAGAGCCACATGGAAGCCCTCAAAAAATACCCATGACCTGACGCCACCTCCAGAGACTCTGGTTGAGTTGGTCCAGAGAAGAACCTGGGCATCAGGACGGGTGATACTGAGATTCCTAGGTTTGGAAAGGCAGGCTAAGCACAGAGCAAGTCTTCTTGCGGAGTCGAGTTTGACAGTGTCCAGCTAACCCATGTCTGATTTGAAATATGCCTCTTTTATCTCTGAGCTGAATCTCAGAAGAAAGCTCCCTCCAGGAAAGGTCAACAGGATGAGCATCCATAGTGGCTGAAATCTGGGCCTCCTCTTCCTCCTTCCTGGAGGCTCACACCTATGCTCATTATGCCTAGGATCCAGAGGGAGGGTGCCCACCCAGCAGCTCTCACCAGGCTGTGCTGGGCCTGCAGCTCGATCTCCAGCGTGTTGACCGTGCGTCTCAGGTCAATGATGTCTGACTGGTAGTTCTGAAGCTGCTCAGAGCTTGTGGCCACCTGCTGGTTAAGCTCCTCCATCTGCAGTGGGGGGAAGGAGAAGGTTGGAGTCCCTTCCTAGGGACATGGAGGAGGCTGCCCCCACCGTGAGAGGCCCACCTGCATATTGAACCATTCCTCCACGTCCCTGCGATTGGCCTCCACCATGGTCTCATACTGACACCGCATCTCCTCCAGCACCCTGGTCAGGTCTACTGGGGGCGCAGCATCCACCTCGATGTTAAGGCGGTCCCCAAGCTGGCATCGAAGGGAACCGACTTCCTGAAAAAGCGCAAGAGCTCCAGGCAAGTGTGACAATCATACGATCCTGCCTCACCTCCCCAGGGAGACATGAAAAGATGCAACAGAAGATGCTGAAGATGGAAGCATTAGACGGCCCCCAAGGACTGCAGTCCACCCGGCAGCATCCCAGTGCTCTTCAGACTCCAGCTGAATACCCCTGTGGCAGGAGCCTCACTGCAGCACATTTCCTGTCACTTTGGCAGATGCCAAGAGCAGCGTCCGGGTTTGTTGGATGCCTTTAGGCTAAAGTGGGAAATCGGTCCCCCTAGTATTCCCAGCCACCCTCCCAGCCTATGTTCATCCTGGGAGGAGGGTAGCAGGAGCCCGGCTTGACTAGTTCAAGGCCCGGGTTAGGGCAGCTGCCTCCCAGGCGTGGCTGCCAAAGAGGGAAAGTTATCACTGAGGCTGCCAGGGTGTGTGATAACTTCTCATTAGTGGCTTCTTGGTGTCATTCCCAGTTCTCTGATTTGAGTGAGATGAGTCAGGCACCCAGGGGTGCTCAGTGAGTACGTGATTACTGGCTGTTACTTTGCACTTAAGCCTGAGGAAACCCAGCCAAGATTCGGAGGCACTTGTTCATTCAAATCCCAAGCCAAGGGGCTGAGAGTCAACCAGGGAGGAGGGAACAAAACGCCATGGCTCAGATGGGCTTGGCAGCACACAGGTGCCCAAAGCAGATGGCTTTCCCTCCGAGAAACTTCAGGAGATAAGGAAAAAACAGAAAGTGAAGGGCTTGCCTGTGGCTTCAGCTTGAGTATTTTATGTGCAAACAGAAGAGAGGATAAAATAAGAATGGGGGCCAAGGAGGAGACCACTGCAGCTCTACGCCCTCTCAGAAGAGATGGGACTGCTTCTGAGAGTTTGGCTGGGCAGAGATGGACAGGCCGTTCAACATGAGATCTGGCACACAGCTCACCCCGGCACCACGGCACCACTCTACCTCTGGTGTGTGGCTCTCGAGAAAACACATGCAGTCACCAGGAATGAACGCTTGGCAGTCACTAGCCCAGGAAATGCAGACGGGAAGGGGACTACACTTCTGAGCGCTGACCAAGTGGCAGGTGTTTCATACCCATGCCTTGGGGATTTCCATGTTCCATATCCTATCCATTAAATCCTCACAATAACCCTGCATGATAGTGTCGTCCCCATTTTACAGATGAGGAGGCTCAGGAAGATTCCATAAATTGGGCATATTCACTGAAACAACACGTGGCAGGCTTGGGAATTGAACCCGTGTTTATCCAACCCCATACCCCACGTTCTCTCCCCTCTGCTTCCTGGGGCCACTTCAGCGTGACTTCCAGCCTCACCTCCTCGTGGTTCTTTTTGAGGCACATCAGCTCCTCCTTTAGGGACTCCACCTGGGCCTCCAGGTCAGCCTTGCAGAGAGTGAGATCATCCAGAATCCTACGCAGGCCATTGATGTCGGCCTCCACCAGCTGCCGCATGGCCAGCTCCGCCTCGTACCTACACAGGTACGGGGTCAGCAACCGAGGGTCAAACTGAATGCAGCACTCAGGGAAGGCCTTAGGCTGCTGGCATTTCCCAACCCTCCGTGAAACTAATGGAAAGCTGCCCGAGAGCCTATGAGGACAGGATCTCTCCCAACCCCTGTCCCCTGGCCAAACTCACTTGGCCCTGAAGTCATCAGCAGCTAGCTTGGCATTATCGATGTTCACGACCATCCTGGAGTTCTCTGCCTTGGTACACAGAATCTGTGGGCCAAGGCACATGGAGAGGGTTAGTTTAGTGCAGGGTGAGAAGAAGGAAGAAGAATCCAAAGGAAGAGAAGACAGCAGCAAAGGTAGGATCCAGCACCCTTGCAGCCAGCCTTGCAGAAGGCCCTCTTCCCCCAGAACTCTGGGAGATATTTAGTGAATTGCTAGTCCTTGAAGAACTCGAGATGTATTCTTTAGGAACCTGGAGCTTTGTAAAGTCAAATTCCCCATTTTGGATGCGCTGAGCAATGTGGGAGGAAAGAATCTCATGTCTGAAGTCAGTCATGTGACGGTTAGAAGGGTCCTTGACATTTACTGAAAACTCACCATGAACCAAGGACTGTTCCAAGCACTTGACCTGCATCATCTCATCGAATCCTTTGACAACCCCGTTAGATAATGACCATTATTATCCCTGTTTTACAGATGAGAAAACTGAGGCCTGGGGAAGGGAAGGGACCTCCCAAAGTCATGCAATGAGGCAACGTTAGAATCGAGAATAAATCCCAGATCTCTCCACCTGAAATCCTCAGGCTAAGTGCTCACATTATAAAATACCCCTGTGCCCTAGGGAGGTCTCTTTGTCCTGAACGTAGCTTAATAAGCTAACGAGATTCAAATCTGGAATGCCAGCTGGTCCAGATCCCTTCCCAGAGAGCCCGTTCACCTCGCCACTGCCCTCACCTTCTGCTGGAGCTCCTCAATGGTCCTGAAATGAGACTGGTAGTCAGGAGTCATGGCGAGCACCTGGGAGTGAGAGGCCGCTTGGATCCTGCTCTCCAGCTCTGCGTTCTCCCGCTCCAGCTCTCGAACCCTCGCCAGGTAGCTGGCCAGGCGGTCGTTCAGGAACTGCATGGTTTCCTTCTCATTGCCATTGAAGGCCCCTTCGCTGTACCAGCCGCCGGGGCCCATGGCGCTGGAGATGCCACTGGCTGGCCAGCGGGAACTGGATAGATAGGTTTTGGAGACGCAGCTGGCTGGCCGGAAGGTGGTGGGCATGCAGACAGAAGGCAGGCATGCCATGGGCTGGTAGACATAGCCCAGGCACAGCTCAGGCCGGCAGTTCACACTGCCAGAACAAACCGAGGCAGGCCGGGGGAAGCTCTTGAGAGAGGTTTGCAAGTTGCTGGTGACACAGCAGGCAGGATGTCATGTTGGAGAGGCCCTTTCTCCTCCGCCACAGCTGCCTGGATGTCTACAGACCCCATGCCACCCAGGCCATTTATGCCCTTGCAGTGAGGGGGCTCATGATAGAAATTCCTCATTGGGTGGTGTTGATGTTTACACTCAGCCCCAGAGGAAGCTGCTAATTAATTTGTAATTTGATTTCCAATGATGAGTTCCTTTCCTCATAAAAGAGCCCAACCTTATCATTTGGCTAAAGCAGGAGTCCGGGCTCCTGCCACTGATCACCATGAGAGAGCTTCAGAACACATCTTCAAAGGGTCAGCTGCATGCCTGGGCCCTCATTACTAGGGCGGGGCCTCCAGGAAACCGCCGCGACCCGGCCTGTGTCTCCATTGGCTTGGCCCACTGCACCCCCGCCTGCTCTAGTCCTGAGAAATCCTGCAGGTCTGTGTGGCAGCAGCTGCCTCTTTTAATGAAGGTATTCCCTGTGGGAAGAGGCCTGACCATTTAACAAGGAAATGTGTGGGTGGTAGAAACTGCTCCGATACTGGCAGCCGCAGAAATCCAGGCAGATAGGAAAAGGAGCGTCAGAGGCTTTCTAACAGGCATCATCTTCCTGCCAAGGGGAAGAAAATAACATCAGTGGGGAGAAAATGAACTCAAGACACAGGCAGCCTTACTTCTCAGCCTTTTTAGGTAAGATCAAGTGTGGTATCAGTTTAATATCTGATACGTGCTCTATCCAAGGACAATATAGTAAATGGATTTTTGGAGCAGGGAGATGGAATACGAGCTTGCTCTGTCCACTCTGTGCATTGACCTGGTATTGCAGTACTTCCAGGAATGGTGCACCCCTTCAAATGGCAAAAATAATAATAATAATAATAATGACCCAAACAGAAGCCTAAGAATCAGGTACATCTTTCCAGTTGGACCCTTCCTCTTGGAAAAGCCCATATCATGAACATCTCCAAGTGGCAGCTGCTCTATCTTGACCCTCTCTGGACCATCCATTCAATTATCTCGGCACCACATACACAATTGTCAAGTGCTCAATAACTGTTTGTTGAACAGACTGAGATAGAACAGTTGGAACAGGTTCTACTTTTACTCTCTGTTGTGGCAGATGGGGAAGGCTCGCTTCAGGATCTCAGAGCATGGAAGCAGTGTGAATCAACTCCCTTGGGAAAGGACAGTCTAGCCCTGGAATGAGCTAAGCCAGGAGACAGGGAGCAGATGAGCCCAGCTATAGAAGCCTTGGGCATTCACTTAAGAAGGTAACATGCTGGAGCATTGTTTTCAGTCCTGGCTGCAAAAGCTGTGAGCTTCACATTTAGTATGTGTGTGTTATAGCCGCTTTTTTATTCAGTAATCTTCTTGATATAATGTTGGGGCACAAGTTTCATGCATTCCCAGAAGTGTCATGCATTATGTTTCATGCATTCCCAGAAGTGTCAGTACAAGAACAGGAAAGAGAAAATGCCACCTAGCCCCTACACTGCATAAAAAAAAAAGTAGAGCATAGAGATGGTGCCTCTGACTTACCATGTGACCTTGGGAAAGTCATTTTGTCTCTCCAGACCTCAGTTTCCTCATGCCAGTTGAAAGGGTCAGATCGATTACTCTCACAATTTGATTCTCTGCAACAGTCATAAATTTCAGGACCTTGTCTGGATTGCCTGTTTAGAGGAGATGTTGGCATCAGATGGAAGGAGGTGTGATGGCAATACCAACTATATGGGATGAGACTCATCAGACCACCCTTCAGAATCATAGCCAGAACTTGTGGAACATATACAACTGCCAGACATGATGTTGAGTGCTTGGCACTCATTTGCCCATTTAATCCTCTGACCCAAAAACTATAATGATTATTTTAATAAGGTGTTATCAGTGGTTCTCAAAGTGTAGTTCCTAGACCAGCAGCATCAATCTGACTCAGGAACGTGTTAGAAATGCAATTTTTCACCCTAGAAGAAAACTTAGGCAACATCATTCATGATATAGGCATAGGCAAAGACTTCATGACTAAAACACCAAAGACAGTTTGAGCGACAGGCAAGGTTGACAGATGGGATCTAATTGAACTAAAGAGCTTCCGAACAGCAAAAGAAACTAGCGTCACAGTCAACAGGCAACCTACAGAATGGGAGAAAAATTCTGCAATCTACCCATCTGACAAAGGTCTAATATCCAGAATCTACAAGGAGCTTAAATAAATCAACAAGCACCCAGAGCTCATAATCCTCCTGGGAGACACAATACTATCAGTTTTCAAAGCATCTCTGAAACCCTCCTTTGTGAAATACGGAATAACTCAAAGGTAAAAAGCACCATCTTGCCATCTTCCATATTTGAGCAATACCAACCTATTTTTAAAATGTTTCTTTTCTCGCTTGAATCGTTTAACCAGGGGAACTACATATGTCTTTTGGGACCCTCACCCACAAAGTTATTTAGAATCAGATTAGGATATTACAAGTCAGGTGCCTGCAAATGCTAACAGTGACCATGGTGCTGGTGCCCAGCTCCTACTGCTGCCCTCTGATGTCTAACCAAGGTTAATGGCTCCCATCACGGTGTGTGCTGTGGTTTGTGCCAAGGCCACTCCCCGAGTCCGCAGATTGTCCCCAGATAACCAATCTGCTAATTATGTCTTCTTTCTTTGAGATGATGCTGATACTATCTCCCCTGCTGTGGGTTGATGCCGTCTACTGTCACATCTCAGTCTTAAATTCTTTAAAATTTTTTATTTTTTTTTAAGACAGAGTCTCACTCTGTCACCCCAGCTGGAATGCAGTGGCACGATCATGGCTCACTGAAGCCTTGAACTCTCCAGGCTCAGGCTATCCTCCCACCTCAGTCTTTTGAGTAGATAGGGCTACAGGTGCACACCACCATGCATGGCTAATTTTTGTATTATTGGTAGAGACAAGGTTTTGCTGGGTTATCCAGGTTGGTCTTGAACTCCTGGCTTAAAGTGATCCACACACCTCAGCCTCCCACAATGCTGGGATTATGGGTGTGAGCCGCTGTGCCTGGCCAGTCTTAAATTCTTGCGGTCTCATATTCTAGTTCATTTAGTGTTTCCTCCTTTGTTGTTGATGTTGCTGCAGCTTAGGAAGGAGACCTTGAAAGATCATCTGAGTGGCGCTCCATGCTGTGCTCAGAATATCTTAGACCCAGTGTGTGGACTCCAGTCTCTCTTTCCTCAGGGTGAGTTCATTCCCAGGAGCCACCTCCATGCTTCATGCAAATCACCCTTGTTCAATTTAGCTTGGCAGTTCTCCACACATGCTGGGATCACTGTCCACTGATAGTTACCTCTCAGCTGCCTTCACCAGGAACAGGACCTCCCAAATACCCTGTTGCATGCTTTGTGAGTGAGAGCTCAAAGTTCCCAACACAGTAAATACACCTTGTTCTTAGTGTTCAATGTATAAAATCGTAAGCAAAACTTGTATCTACGTTTGATGGTGTTTTGTCAGCGGGAAACATGGGTCTAGGGAAAGCAGTCCTTAGTTCTTATCTCTGCCATGGTGCTTTCCTTGGAGGATAAGAGAAAGGAATGTCAGGGAGATCACCTTTTCTCAGGACAAAGGCAAATTGCTCTTCTGAAATATCCGGAAAGGGTCAGTATCACCACTGAGAAATAAAACTAAAATCCTAAGTCCCCAATTGACTGAAAGGACCCTGTCTTGGCCAAGGGGACAAAACAGAGACCTTAAAAACAGAGTCACATGTATGTTTACTGCAGCACTGTTCACAATAGCAAAGACTTGGCACTGACCCAAATGCCCATCAATAGTAGACTGGAGAAAGAAAATGTGGCACATATACTCCATGGAATACTATGCAGCCACAAAAAAAAAGGAAAAAAACAACAAATTTAAAATTTATTTCAAATATTTGAAATCAAAAGAGAGAGAAAGGCAGAAATGAGAAAGTCAATAGCATAACGGGGGGCCGGGCGCGGTGGCTCACGCCTGTAATCCCAGCACTTTGGGAGGCTGAGGCAGGCAGATCATGAGGTCAAGAGATCAAGACCATCCTGGCCAACATGGTGAAACCCGTTTCTACTAAAAATACAAACATTAGCTGGACGTGGTGTCATGCACCTGTAAGTCCTAGCTACTCAGGAGGCTGAGGCAGGAGAATCGCTTGAACCCAGGAGGCAGAGGTTGCAGTGAGCCAAGATCATGCCACTGTACTCCAGTCTGGGTGACAGAGCGAGACTCCATCTCAAGCATAATAGGTACCAGACCTAATAGTGCTAGAGTCTATGTCAGAGTTCCCCTGAGCCCCCTGCAGTGGGTTGGAGTCAGGTGGAGGACCTATTAGCAACCCGACTGCAACTCCCAATTGGATTGCCAAAAGCTCCTCCACCTGACAGACGAACTCTCAACCCTGGCTGCATGTTCATATCACCCAGGGAGCTTTCAAAAATCCCAATATCAGATCATATCCCAGACCAACTAAAGCAGAATCTCTGGAGCTCAGAGCAGGCATCGGTATTTTTTAAAGCCCTCCAGGTCATTCCAGTGTACCGGCAAGGTTGAGAACTTGTGGCTGGGTGGAAACAGCATTATAATTAAAAAGCACGAGCAAATGAGGTAAATAATAATTAGAGGTAGGGTTACACACGGTTTAGTTAGCTACATCTTGGAGGAAGCTAGGATGGGTTTGGAAAGGGCTTGTGCCACAGAGAACATCAAAAAGAAGAGTGTGACCTATACACAGCACAGTTAACTGGAGCCCATGTGCTCCAGGCAGCACCCACGTGCTGCTGACCATGAGGCTCCCTGCTGACTTTGCTCAGAATTGGAATTGGGTAATGAACCATGCAACTGCACATTCACTTTAGCTGGCCTGGTTTTCCAGGAAGGAAGTGTCAGAAATGAAACCCTGGGCAGAGAAATGTGGATACCCTACCTCACAGCAATCCAGCCATCCAGCTGGAAAGAGTTGGTAGTGATGACCCATCTTCAAATGCCCTCCATGTGCTGGGCAAAGCATTGGGGACTTCACAGCATCAGTGTCATATTGTCTGTTTTACTGAGGCTCAGAAAGGGACTATGACCTGCTGAAGCTCCCACATGTAGTTAGTGGTGGGTGGAGA